CGTTTTGATGCTGTCTATACGTCAAGCCTTTGAGACCTGTCTGTCGCCCTAGGACTTGTCTCATAACGTTTCGCACTTTAGCTCTGACTAATGTCACCATCTGGAAACTTCTTCTCAACTACTTCCCGGGATTCGCATGTTCGCTTGTATTGACACTATAGAAATCATTACTCCACTTTTATTATATGTGTATTCATCATGAACCGATAAGACTCCTTAGCGCAGTCTGCGTGTATACACACGTATTCTGAATCACAGCTTGTGCTCACTATGCTCAGTGTGCTCAGTAAGACAATCGTGTAACAGAGGCCTGTGCACATTGTTTTCGTATCATGAGCTCTCCAACGTGACGTAGTCATCTGCGATTCAGTCAGCAGATTATATAGTATCTTCACAAAAACTAGGCATATTTGTTAGAATTGTGCTAGAAATAATTCGCCTTCTCGATATAATACCCATTCTAATCCACTACCCAACCACAAGCACTCCATAACTGTACTCCTTGTCCTAAGTTTAACTTTACATCTAACAGTTTCCCCAATACTAACCATACCTCTTTCTTTAGAAGGCGTCCAAAAAAACTCGTGACCACCACAGAGCATTTGCCAGTTTATTTGCTTTTTTGCGTACCGGTGACCGAGTCTTTGACACAAAAAACGGCATTATAATGAACAGTCTTGGCATTAACTGATTACACCTTAAAGCGAATAAGAACTGTGAATTGCCACCCCATACACCAGTAGATCCAGCCTGTAGTATAACAGCCTGTCGCTAAAGGGAAAGTGAACGTGGCTGTAAGCAGTATTTACTTTCCTTTCCCTCTTTTATTGACGGTTACTACTTCTGATAACAGTACGTATTACTATAGCCGAGCACAAAAAGTTGTTCGCATAGTTTGGCCTTCTCAATTGCAATAACATTTAAATCTCAATCTTGGTATTGTGCACGAAATGCATTCACTAAAACGTCCACTATCAGAACGTTGCCAAATTAGGTGCTTTTGTTGCACGTCATCAATAATTGTTTATTACAGTTACGAGGATGGGGTGGAGACCTGTTGTCTTTCAGAATTAGGTTTACTTACTGATCTGAAAACAAAATCGATATACAAAAGCCGACGACAGTTAAACTTGACTGTTTGTTTGAATGCCTTTTAGACACGATGCAATTTCTACTGACCCGCAATTAGGGAAGACAAATTCGAAGTTTACCATGCGTTATCCTGGTCGTTTGTTTTGTCTCTTTAGGAGAAGAATTGACTTTTTGGGATGGTCTCATTAGCACCGACCCATCTAGGCTGGATTCTTCCTCCACAAGTCCGGACCTCTTTGCTGCCAGGGAGGAGGTAGCCTACCTGAATGCCTATAGCAGCCCCTCGGAGGCCATCCTTCTGTCTACTACGCCGCCAATTGAGCCGTCAGTACCTGGACGTCCACGCCTTCTTTCGGTAAATCTGAGTGATTGGGCCTCCTTCTATGCTTGGCGTGGTCTTCCATTGACCAGTCCACTGGCGCTTCTTCTGCATTGGCCTCTGACGGTATATTTCATCCTCAACAATTTTCTTCGGCACGTAGGTAAATGTTCTCCCTATCCCTATACACAAATGGGCTTCTTACTAGTGCTTTTTCTGTTTCCACACCGATACCTTTGTTGGGAATAGGGAAGTTTGTGTGGTTTCTACAAGTTTTTACTTTTGACTGCACAGATGGTTGTCTTCGACTACAAATGCCAAAGGATTACTCCTAATGTTCTTTGTTTCCCACTATAAAAAAAACCTAACGCGTCTTTTGGGGCAGCTTTTATTTTTTTTTCATTATCGTTGCTAATGCTTTCGTATCCATTGATGGCCTAGCCACTTAGATGTCCAGAACATACTAAATCATTACCTCACATTCTTTTACCGTATTTCCCCTTCCTATAATGCCTCTGTAGCCGGCCTCAGTTTTGTTGCAAACGGGACCCTTTCATGTTCGATTACCTGTAGTGGCACGACCATTACTCCTCTGCAGCTACGAGCACGAAATACTAAGTGTCCAGAAAGTATCTCCATATGTTGATCAGGTTATTAGTTGGCCTCTAGGGCCGCATAGGCAGGAGCCTAGTAAAGTATGTCGTTGTGACGCACATTGGAGTGGCGGCCGAACCAACCACCTGCGCCCTCTCCCATCTTCTGTCTTCTTGACTTTGTGTTGACACCGAGTACAGGTGCGGGAGTGGGAGTGGGAGTGGGGCAGATCCTGCGCGATTACACAGCCAGTCACCGCGTTTGCCTTCAGCTTGCTGAAGCTCGTGGTGGACATTGTCGAAAACGACGGTCGAACTGTCATCAGACCAGCAGCACTGAATTCCTCTGGGGGACGACGAAGAGCGCACCCAAACCACCTCAATCGTCTTTCTTTAAGATATGCTCACGATTAGTGGCGAGCAGAACTCACTATAATTAACTCGAAGGAGGCCTCTCAGGCAACCATATTCAGATGCCTTATCCGAGTATTGACAGGGCAGATCGGACGGGTTCCCGGTGCATACGAGTCTTCGTGGCAATTTCTATGAAGTCGACTCTAAATAGATTTTCAACTTCTTTTAAAAATCTTCGACCAAAACATGTAAGTAGAAACCTCACTCGGAGGTTGTTTGAAACGGTTTACTTCTCGAATTTAACAGTTGTTTGTCCCAAGGAGTACTTTCTGGTGCAATACAGCTGAAAACACTGGTCTTCCCTGCGTATGTAGATACTCCGACTGATTTAGTGAGCTCACTCACCCACGCGCTGTAGATTATCATAGTGTGAAGGTAGCCAGACGATATCGTTTCTGCAGCCGGTATCAGTTAGTTGGTGGGTGTGGGCTACTCCGACTTCGTCAAAACCACGCAAGAAAATTCAGAGGCTACATTGGCCACGTAATAGAACAGGACAAAGGGCAGAATACGAACTTGTTAAGCGTCTAAATTATGTTGTACCAGCACCTACGCAGTGACGGAGCGATAGTTAGTCCTGGTCGGGGTGCTGATTTTCGGTGACAGACTTAACTCTATTATTCGTTACGGCGACTCAGGGTGGGCAGAGTCTAGCATTGGGATGAAGTCAACAGAACAGTTACTGCTGGCCCTAACGAACTTCAAAACCCGTCGGTGCATTCACTTCCGGTTGGGGACACGGCTCGATCTGCAGTCACGTACTTAAATTTACCCTGCCATTGACGTGTAAACTTGAAGTAGTTTTCTTGCCAGTACACCGTTTCCAGTGTCAGTGTGCGTTAGGAAAGTTGACTAGTCAGTATCATATTATGTTATGGAGTTGCGTCAAGTAACTAATGTGATGCGGGCACTCAAACCACTATCACACCAGGTGCGACCATCTGCGATGAATGCGGAGACTGTTGGTTTTTACAAGCTCGTGATGACCAAGTAACTGCATTCTAACTGCAGCCTTTGTTCGTCCATCACTCTTATCGGGCACTGTTTCTGATGGTTGGTTTGAATGTAATTCAATACGGCGGTCTGCTTTGTTGACTTTGTCGCTGCGTTCGATTCCGTTCATCGTGAATCCGTATGGTGGATAATGGCATTATATGGTGTACCACTAAAAATAATCAAAATGATCAAGGCATACTACCGTTCCACCACCGCACGGGTTCTGGTCCATATCAACGTTTCAGAGTCCTTCGCTATTTGGTCTGGCGTTCTGTCGCCCATTCTATTTAACTACGCCATCGACTGGATTCTCGAGAAGGCTCTACGTGAAGATGACGGTATTGGGCTTGCGCCCGGACGCAGATTGACCGATGATATCGTTTTACTGGCTTCAAACTTTGACGATCTACAATTTAGGGTGTCGCGAATGCATGAGGTCGCTAAATCGGTAGGTTTTTGCATAAATGCTGGGAAGACCAGTGTGTTCTCATATTGCATTCCTGCCCAAGAGAAGACACCCATCGAGATTAATGGCTGCCAACTTGATGAAGTAAACAGTTTCAAGTACCGCGGATCGAGGTTGCTGTCGAAGGGAAGAGTAAGAATGACATTGTCTTCCGAATCGACGCAGCTCGACGAGTTTTCCTCAGCATTCGAAAGTGCCTATGGACCCAACGCGATATTTATATTACCACGAAGGTCCTCGTGTACCTTTCATCTGTGCGGCCTGTTCTTCTATACGGCTGCGAATGCTAGGCTATGCGCGTGGAAGATGGATGGAAACTGGAAGCATTTGACCACTACTGCTTAAGGACCATCCTTCGATTGAAGTAAGCCGACTTCGTCTGAGATGAGACTGTCCACACTCGTTGCGACACCATCGCAAGGACATCCCAGGTGGTTTGGACACGTTCTTCGTCGTCAACTTCACGAGCTCAGTGTTACTGCCCTCGACCCGAAAGCCTTACCTGATTGGAAACGTAGAAGAGTGCGTCAGCTCAAAACCTGGCTTGACTCAGTCCGTCAGGGCATGGAAGTGGTTCTTGGGCCTTCGCTATTCAGTCTCCGGCGCTGGCGAAGAGAATGGAGCGAGCTGTCCGGGTCTGCTGCTACGGATCTTTGCGCGTGGAGTAGTACCGTCTGGGACATCATCGAGGCTGACTAGATCAGTCCTGATCGCAGCCGTAACAAGTACAAGTAAGTAAGTACGAAGGTCAACCCAATCTTCCATTTCGTACACAATTTGACCATACTACTGGACCAGGGTCTGTGTGCATGGAGGTTTTGGCAGACACGGTAGTGGCACAAACAGCAATACGTACATCAGGCATTTTCATGAGATTTCTTGAAAATTTTAAATGCAGTCAGTTCTCAAACCGCCCCTCGAGGTTATCTGCTCTAGTAGTATGACTCAAGAGCCGAATAAACGACATTATTTAATGGCGATTAACGGTCGCCGTATCACAGTGCCATTATCGGGCTTTGCGATATTTTATGGCGTACTAAATATGAGCCCTCCACGTCCTGACAACACCGCCGGCTGGCAACTGTTTATTCGCCAGAATCTTGTTCCTTTGCTGGAGTTTGTTCTACTGTCCTCAATCCTTGAGCACACGAACAAAAAGTCTAGAAGGTTGACCCCTCTTCTCCGGTTGTCAGATCGCCTTTCAGTGAGCATTGCTCCGTAGGAGTTGCAATCTAAAGATGACTATTGACTGCCGTTGTTCACATTGCAACCCGTGATTAAACCGGTGGTACAACCAATTATAGCAGGCGTCTCGGACCATTCTGCCTTTTGTCGTCGAATGTTAGACTCGAACAACCTGATACAACAACGCTTTCCCATTTTGCCGTGAGGTTCCGCCCTCGAGGCGAAGCATTACCTATGTCTTGCTTACAACTGACAGGGTAATAGGGACCACATTTTATTACGGCGATGCCAACTGTCTTCTGACTGCAACTTCCTACACTCAAGTCCTGCAGGACGTACTGCATGCAAGTTGAATGCCAGAACTTGCGTATTTTTCTCCACATAAAACGAGGTAATTGACGCAAACAGACCAATCAAATCGAGTCTTCAGGAAGGGAGGCTTTTCCTTCGTGTCTTAAAATCGTTGAATGATTTTCAGTGTTAAACAAACTTTCCTACGAGTATTCACGGGACTTGAAAAACTTCGCTGTCCCTTACCCTCTGACTTCACCCTCATTATTGTTATTATTTTCTACTAGGGGAGGATGCTTATCTGTCAGTAGTTTACCAAGAGTCCCTCACAATACATCTTGTCGGCGTGGAAAAAGAGGTCGATCTCCTTCCGGTCTTTAAGGTGAGTTTTAGTGACTCAACAATCTTTGGCCAGTCCTTTGCTAATCGCTTGCCATAATGCAGTCCCCGTAATTGTGAATTCTGTTTGTGCAGGAACTGGAGCATCTTATTTCGCCGGATATCAAATGCGTTCAATTGGTTTTTATCGGCCCCAGTATTTCTCCGGCTGCTAGTTCAACCTCGTGGTACCTGTCACCACGTATATCTGCGAGGCTCTGGCGTGGACTGTATCATAACTTTATTGCTGAGGGCCTTCGCTGCGGACGAACTGAAACACCGGACCTTGTAATCGGTAAGATTTTACTGCTTTGATTGTGCCTGACGAACTTATTTCTAAAGAAAGCCTCTTTGACATTTACGCTATGATCTGAGTCCACCATTTGCACGAGAATGGAGCTGTTTATGTTCTTTTTTCGGTCCCTTTCCTAACGGAGTCCCATTTCAAGGGGACGCACCAAGCGAACCTCTAAGAAGGCGCCAAAGTCAAGCTGTGTCCAGCACCTTTTCAGTAGCGGACACCCATGTACTGTTCTCGACTACTCCCATCCTATACAGAGAAAGCAAGGACAAACTGCCAGTGGCGAGCAGCTCTATAGGCAATTATTCACTTACCTGCTCCTGACAGGCAGAATGTACTTGTCGCACGTGCCGGCGTTTGTTCAGATGAATTTGAGAAC